CAACTTTCCAGAGTGGGGACTCAACTCTAGATCCTCGACACCAAAGTCTTGTTCTTCCCACGCAGCACATTGATGCTAGGCATTTCCAATCACCACCTAACACACCAGCCAGTTAGCCACCTGAAAGAGCCGGAAGTCATAAACATCGCCCCACTGGACCGACCCAGGAAGAGAAACCGCCTGGTGCTCAGTCCCACAGCAGGGGTTTGGAGGAGCCTGAGCATTTCAGGCCTGGAGACGTCGCCTTCAGAACGTTCCCAAGCACCTCATTCACCAATTTTTACTCCTTCTTATCAACTAGTTTTAGGGTGGTATCTTTTAAAGCTTTATATAAAAACACATTTAGTGCCCCGTGTCTGCCCTTAATAGTTCATGGTGGGGGAGAGGGGACTAGGGCACTAGTTGTTTTGTTTGTTTTGTTACAAAGAACTAAAGGATCCTGATTTAGGAATTGCAAAGGGATAAATCAGCGGTTCTCAACCTGTGGGTCACGACCCCTTTTGGGGTCGAACGACCCTTTCACAGGGGTCGCCTAGGACCATCGGAAAACACATATATAATTACATATTGTTTTTGTGATTAATCACTATGCTTTAATTATGTTCAATTTGTAACAATGAAATTGGGGGTCACCACAACATGAGGAACTGTATTAAAGGGTCGAGGCATTAGGAAGGTTGAGAACCACTGGGATAAATGAAAGCTGGAGAAATTGAAAGTGGCGAAAAAAGTTGGAAAGTTGCAATGTTCAAAACATGGCAAAGTTGTCCTGAAGTGTCTCTAGTTTACAGCTAAGGTAACGCAGGTTTGGTGGTGGGTCTTAGGGCCTCCTTGGGCTGGAGAGTGTGCTGAGTGCAGGGTCGGCAAATGCCTATTTTTATAAAGCCCATAAGCTAAGAATGCTTTCTGCACGTTTAAATGGCTGAAAAGAGTCAAAAGAATATTTCATGACATGTAAAATGATATGAAATTCATGTTTCAGTGTCTGTAAATAAAAGTTAATTGGAGCACAGCCATGTCCGTTCATTTACATGTTGTCTCCAAAGGTTTTTGTGCTGCAACAGAAGAGTTGAGTACTTGTGACAGGAACTCATGTGTCCCACAAAACTTGAAATATTTACTCTGTGTCCCTAGACAGAAAGTTTGCTGACCCCTGACCTAGTGCCTGCTTTGTGCAAAATAGGCTTTCGAATAATTGCCAGGGGGTTAAACTCTGGAATACTAGATGTCTTTTGATGTTGCCAGGAGCTAAGACCTGTTCCCTCTGTCCCACCCCCCTCCCATTTGGATGATCCAACTGCTATGGAATCCATGGCCATGGTCTAGGCCTACCCCTCTGTATGCATGGGCCAGTTGGGGCCTGGCCTCTTCACACCTGGCCTACTTTTTTTTCTTTAAAAATATGTTTTTATTGATTTCTTTTTAAGAGAGAGAGAGAGAGAGAGAGAGAGAGAGAGAGAGAGAGAAAAGGAGAGAAAGAAACATCAATGACAGAGAAACATTAATTGGCTGCCTCCTGCATGCCCCGCTACTGGGGATTGAGCCCGAAACCCGGGCACGTGCCCTGATCAGATATAGAACCCATGATCTCTTGGTGCATGGGACGACACCCAACCAACTGAGCCACACCGGCTGGGCTGGCCTACTTCCAATATCTTCATTCAAGAACTCTGCTTCTCAGCCTCACACCCCTTACCTTAACAATATTAACAGCTAATATTTATGGAGAGCTTCCTCTGGGCCACACACTCATTTCTCAGAATGAGATAGATAATCCTAGGACATAGGTATCATCATCATCATTATTGTTATTCCTATTTCACAGATACAGAAACTGAGGATCAGGGAGAGGCAATCACATGCCTGCATCACACACCAGTAAGTATCAGGGCCAGGATCCAAACTTAAGTTATCTTGTCTCCAGCGACTGCATGGTGGGAGGGAGGGGACAGGTGGGGGTGCAGTGGCCCACGTGAGACTTCTTAATTAACGTCCCACCTCAGAATTCTCTCCTTGGATCCCTTCTCACTGCTAGCTTTGCAGACACAGAGCACTCTGCCACGTGGCACCCTGACTGTGAAGGGTCCCCCAGAACTGATCCTCAGAAAGCTCGGGGAGACTGTTCAGCTGCTTGCAGGGACAATCCCGAGGCCCGGCAGGAGCTCCAGTGCAGCACGTCTCCCACCCGAGATTGGCCATGTTTGTCTTCAGCCCTCGGCACCTTCCCACTTTCCATCCCAGTCCCTCCTGCTGCGACCTTGCACCCACAGCTTCTGTGTGAAATGCTGTCGCTTCTTACCTGGACCTGCTGGGCCACAGGCCAGGCTCCAAAATGCTCCCATCCTCCTTCCCCCAACAGTAACTTCTAACCATGTAACATGTAACCTCCCCGGAGAAGACCCTGGCGATGAACATTTCCCTCCAACTTCTACCTCTCCTACATAGGCAACTCCGGTCTTGTCTTGAGACGGGGTCCAGAGGGCTCCCCAATCCTTCAAACAGTGAGGTTCGCTCCCCAGCTGTTTAATCCTTCCTGCTTCTCCCACAAACCAGCCTTTCTGAGTATGTCAGAAATTTCCACTCCTTCCCCCTCTCCTCTAAGGATTCCACTTCTCTCCAGAGGGAGGAGGGAAACGGGAGTGGGATGGGAGGCTCCCTCTCTCAGCATCTCTCCTTTCCCTTCCTGCCATGATTGCTTCTGCTTTCTGCTGTCCTCCCCCAGCTCAAGTCTCGGTTGATTGAACTTATAGTTTCTTTTCCCTTCTTCAGTAGATGTTTCTGTCATAGGAGCTCAAAACAAAGAATTTCTGAGAATAAGAAAAGAGAATTCCTGCAGAAAAGCAGGAGCCAGGGTGGAATTTAGTAGGCACTGAATTATTAGAAGGGGAAGATTGTGTTGGGCTGTGGGACAATCTGGTGGCTCTCCAATCCCAGTCCTTAGCCCTGTCTTGGCCACCGGACTTGTCTTCATTGTTGAGGACGCCACCAGGTTTGAGGCTCCAGCCCTGTAGTGGGCCTTCCAGGTTGGGATCTCATGGCAACCAAATCCCCTTAGCTGTTCACATGTGCAGTGTGAATTTGTGGGTAAAGGAATCCTTCACACCATAACTTTCAACCTTTCTCAGGATGGGGTGTCACATAGAGTTCGCAAAATGGATCCTTTAGGACTTCAGATTTCTTTCTAAAGCCAACCAATTTGAAGGCAGGGTAGACTGGAAGTTTAGGTGGGTTTTACAGAAAGAAAGAAGAAGGAAGGAAGAAAAAACAGGAGGAAAGGAGCGGGGGAGGAAGGGAAAAAGCAAGGAAGGAAGGAAAGAAGGAAGGAAGGACTGGAGAGAACTTCATTTGGTTGAAGGTAGTGCAACATAAAGCATCGATAAGATGTCACATCCTTGAAGCTCTCTGCCGTCCCTGGCTCTTGCAAACAATGAGGGAATATTTCTTCACAATAAGCATGTAGAGGGATTATGCAGTATTTATCTTGGCATTGTTCATATTAATGATGTGTTGACTTTAAATCAATCTTCTGTTTTTCTCTGTGATGCATTAGAGCACCCTTGGTAGGCATGTATGCATGTATTATTTGGAAAAAAACTATTTTTAGGAATTGGAATGAAACCTCAAAATCTAATTTGTCTTACTATAACAACTCTACCAACTTTAGTCGTATAAATAAATATCACACAGGAAAGCTACCAAAACAATGTGTTTTCATAAATATTTTCCTTTCCAGTTCAATAAGTCCCAAGACTCTCTGAAATATGTGTTTAAGAGTAGGAGCTCAGGTGTTAGTCTGTGCCGATGACCTTACATTTTTATTTGGGAGCTACTTAAGCTTGGCACAATCAGTAGCATTCTTTCTACATTTTCCTCAGTAGTTCTGATTTTAAAAACAGCCAAGTACAAGAAAACCCCAAATTCTACCCTTCTAATTGCAAGGTACCTGGGGGTGGGGTGTCTTATTTTGTGAACAGCCCTTGGAGGCCATGCTGAAGGCTGACAGTGAAGAGTCCTGTTCTCCTCAGACAGCCACTCCCAGGGAACCTGCCCTTGCCCCACCAGCTACTGAAGGCAACCCAGAACCGGTAAAGCCAGAGGCACAGGTGTCGCCTGTGTGTGTCACAGAGTCAGGAGCAAAGCAAAATAGACTTTCCTTAACTCTGGCCTCTTTCTATGTTCTTTCTGCTTCCCGTACACTTCACCCTTTTTTCTTCATTCTTCCTTTCCTCTCTTCTCACTTTGTGCCCTATTATCTGGAAAAATTAAGCATTGGTTTGACCACCCACTTATCCACCTGCCACCCTGTATTTCACCTTTATCTCCAAACAACCATCTGAGATTATTTTTATCACCTTTTCTGGAAACTCCTGTAATCCGAATGCCACTTTATCACTCTCCTAACAGTATACGTGGCCTCCTTTTAGTCAAGTCCCAAGTTTTTTACTTCACTCTTCATTTTCCTTGAAACGCCTACAGCACTTGATACTTTTGGCCAGCCTTTCTTCCCTGAACCCCTTTCTCTGAAGGTATTCTGATTTTCTCTTCGATGGCATACTAGGCTAGTCACTTGCCCTCCTCTTTCTTAACTGTGGGTTAGTAAGGTGCCTCAAGCAGGGTGACCAGACCAATATAGCCTTGAGAATTAAAGGGTGCTCAGTGATACTAGGCACAAACAAAGATCATCCCAGGCAAACGGAGATGTGCAGTCACCCTCTTCTTAAGGCTCAAGGGAGGAGGAAACGGAGAAGAACTCAGGGCAGGATCCGAATGAGCACAGATCAAGGAGCTTTCACAAATGTGTCTTAGAGTTGCGTAGCTACTTCTGCTGAGAATTCAGAGTTAAAAATTGAGCTTCACACATATGAGAGGATTCATTTACCTAGGAGGAGTGTCAGAGCAGGATTAGGGAAGAAAAAATGGGTGAGGAAGAGAGGTCTAGGTGAGGAAAGGGCAGAACTGGTTAGAGCAGGTCTTGTGGGTTCCAGCCACAGAGTCTGTCCTTACAGGTGAAGATGAACTCGGTGCTGAAACCGCTTCCAGGCTCTTCTCAGCCCAGGATTGCCCACGATCAGCAGCAGTGAGTGGCCAGCAGGGTAGGCGGCCATGATGAATTTGCATAAAATATTCCAGAAACTGTAGGCATCGAAGACATTGGACATGGAAAGAAATAGAGCAACTGCATTGAAAATGTAGAGAATGAGAAAGTAGCTGATAGCTCTTATGGCCCCCAAGTGGGCCTCCATGCTGGGGTCCCTGGAGCCAGTGGCATTGCTTTTCATGTGCAGGGTGTGCCTCTTGAGAGAGATGATCAGCAGGGTGGCCGCCAGGATGAACATGATGAGAGGAATGAAGATCCCCAGGTTATAGAGAAGAACCAGGTTGACCACGTTGGTCTCAGCGATGTACGTCTTCTCTGTGGCATTGTGGGAGGGGATAGGAATGGAACTATTCACATACACATTGAAGATGTCTTTAGTTAAGGGGAAGCTGAAGCACAAGGAGATGAGCAGCGACAGCCTCAGAAGCCAGGGCATCAGCACTGTGATTTTCCTCTTCATCGTGACGAACAAAGGGTGCGTAAAGTTTGCAATTTTAAGACAGTAGAAGATGGTGAGCCAGGCGGCGAGCCAGAGGTTGGAGTAGTTCAGAAAGAGGACGATGACTTTGAAAGGTATATACACTGTGTTTTGGTTGTAAGTGGCCCGGGATAGTAGGCTGTACACATTCTCCAGCATCATCCAAATCTGCAGCAAGAGCCTGGAGAAGCTCAGCATCAGCACAATGCAGTCCCCCACGGGGAGTCTTTTGCGTCTGGCCCACTCGGCCCCGTGGATGGCCGTGATGAAACCATTCCCAACGATGCCAGTGAGGCACTCGATTCCAGAGACCACCAAGATGAAGACCACTTTAAACCTGGACATGTCTTCATCCGCGTAATTGGTGTTCACCGTCATCATTCTCTTTGGCCCTGACTTTCAGGTTTCCTTGCCAAGAACTGGTACCTGCTCCACAATCTTCTGACCCTCACTCAGTGTTATTGTAATTTTTTTCTCAGTTAATGGTTCTTTCTAATTTTTCTTCATTTGCTTGTCACATGACTGCAGGTTAGAGGCTTGTCATGCAAATGATGAGAGGCTCTGGTTACTGGCCGTGTCCATTTTTCATGAAGATCCATTTGTCTTGAGCTTTCAGGCCTCACTGGAAAGACTGAGACAGGCTTCTGTTCCAGCACCTTCCTACCTTATTTACTTTAAGCTCATGCTCACCTGACAGAGCAAAGAGTCCCAGGTGAGGAGCCTTAGCGCTCTCTTGCCTTTTTTACTTGTCTCACAAGACCTGTTTGTTACCTGCCAAAACTGAATGCCATTAGAGCCGAGAAAGACTCTATTGTCACTTTTTCATTGTTTATGTGTATATCACCAATTATAATTTACTAGTATCCACATCACATCACTGTTTGAACTCAGAATCAGGTGGAGGCAGCCTGGGCAGGCTTCAGAGTGTTCTGAACATGGTGTTGAAGTTGGGAAATGTGATAAAATACTGTAATTTGAAATTTGATTCACTACATTATCCTGACTGTGAAACAGAGTGAACTCGATGCTTAAAAAAAAAAAATACAGGCACCCAGGACTCATTCCTGATGTAGTGAATTGGAATCTGAGCCAGGGCCCAGGCATGCTGTATTTTTACGTAGCCTGGATTGAGAGCGAGTCTCAGCTAGGGTTCAATGAGTCCTGGCCACACCTATTCTGCAGTGAAGTTTTACCTTGTACTGTCAAATGTTGGGTAGCATTAGTCCACCAGTGCTTATTATATTTTTTATTGGGCAGCATTTAAATTTAGGAGATTACATATATGCAGGAAAAAAATCTGTCTTCTCTTGGAAATGAGAAGATTTGACCACATGGGGTCTGCATAGTGAATCGGTTGCAGTGGAATGGTGACTGCCTATCTAAGACCAGACGCATGCACTTTCCAGCTTGTCATGGTGCCCGCACATTCCTGTGTCTTCTTGCCCCTGTGCCTTGTGCCAGTGTGAGTGCCCTATCATAGTTTTTTATAACATAAATGGAAGGATGATAAAAATAGATTTCCCTACCCCACATTCATTTTCTTTCAAACAAAGAAGTCAGACTTATTTTTATTTCTTTTATTTTTATTTATTGTCTAAAGTTTTACATATGCAGATTTATTTTTATTATAAAGTTGTCTTGTATTATTCAGTCACACTTATATAAAAATAGCACCAGACCAAAGAATATATTGCAAAATCAAGAAAGCATTGTATGGAGAAATGAAAGTTCATGTGGACACCAAGACTTGACATTTGATGACAGTTCTCATCTTCGGTAACTTCTCTTACTTCTGCCACTATAAAATTATTTATTTATTTATTTATTGTTAATCTTCACCCAAGGATATTTTCCCCATTGATTTTTAAAAATTTTTTATTGCTTAAAGCAGCGATTCTAAACCTGTGGGTCGCGACCCCTTTGGCAGTCGAACAACCCTTTCACAGGGGTCGCCTAAGACCATCCTGCATATCAGATATTTACATTACAATTCATAACAGTAGCAACATTACAGTTATGAAGTAGCAATGAAAATAATTTTATGGTTGGGTCACAACATGAGGAACTGTATTTAAAGGGCCAGAAGGTTGAGAACCACAGCCCTAGATCCACCGTGCCGGCGAGACTGAGACCTGCCACGCTGTGAGACCCATCAATGCACCTCCTGGTGACCGATCGTTTGGTTGTTACAGCGTTACAGCGTTACAGCCACTGGCCTTTTATAATATAGACTAGTGACCCAGCACGCAAACTCGCGTGAGACCCAGACCCGCGGTAAATTGCGTGAGACCTGGGACCCCCAAGTCCCACAGGTGCCGGGGGACTCCCCCAAGTCCCAGCACGCTGTGGGACCCCGAGTCAAGTCCCCGCCCACCCGTACACACCTCACTGCGCATGCAGCCCCACCCACCTGCGGGCGCCTCGCCGCACACACAGCCTTCTGGTGACTGGTCTTTATGACCACTGGGTTTTTATTATATAGATAGATGATTCATAAATATTTTATTTAAGTTTTAAAAAAAGCACTGAAAGATATAAAAACAGAAGTAGTTAAAAGTAGTATTAGTACTCTCTTTGAGAAATGGGACTAGAGTGAGGGAGAGATGACAACTATTTTGTTGTTGTTAATCCTCACCTGAGGATATTTTTCCATTAATATTTAGACAGCCAACTAGCGGTGGGGTATCTGAAGCTGGCTCGTAACCCGAATTTTAGCTCGCAACTCAAAGCAAAAAATCGGCCGAGAGACGGCTCGTATCTCGAAAAACTCGTTAGTCAGGACACTCGTAAGTCAAGGCCCCACTGTACGTGCCTTTAACCAGAATCGAACCTGAGACCCTTCAGTCTGTGGGCTGACACTCTAACCACTGAGCAACACTGGCTAGGGCTAAACAGTTTCGTATTTAAGTGAGAAAAAAATCTGCCTGGGATGTCCAATTCATTGCAACTCATAAAAGAGTATCTATTGAATGCAGGGAAAATTGTGTCCTGGAAAGATATAAACACGTGCAAATAGAAGTGTGACCAGAAGTACTGTCCTAGGTGTCCTGGAAATACGGCTAGGAAATGAAAGATACATTGTGTGAAAAGTTTTCAACATTGCGACATTTGCTACTGCAGCGGATGAGGGTACGATTTAGTAATATTTAGATGTAAGCCCTATAGACACTGTGACTTTGAGAATCTCTATATGACTGAAAATATTTTAGGCAGTGTGCCCACCACAGACACACACCAGGAAGCAATTGCAAAATTACTGTTTGCAATAGAGGAAAGGTTTGAACCATTTAATAGGGAATGATGCTCCTGGGATAGATAGTGCTAATATTGGACTTGCGATAAAACTGAAGTTCCACGTGGCCAGTTATGTAAGGACACAGACCCCACATCCACTCATCTGCGCTACTCAGCAGGAATTGCTTTCTGCTAGACGTTAAAAATGGAACGCGTCTTGGATAGAGTCACCACCTGTAAGCTGGCTCTCCTCCTGAGGCTTGGCCACGGAACGTTCTGGGGACTGTTTGATGAACCGGACCCAACACAGCACTCGCTCACTGCGCACACTGCGCACAGGTTGGGGCTCAGTCGCAGCAGAAAGCGAAGGAGAGCTGATGAACTGTTGAAGGGAACTCATTTACATCACCCGAGGAAAAAGCTCTCTGCTTATGCAAAAGCGGTAAAGATTGTTACCACGCAATTGGCCTTTTGAGTTGACACTGGATAGTTCCCTGAAAAGGTGCCCACAAGTAGTTATAAAACGTTATGGAGAAAGTTATCTAGCATAGCGTTATTTGGTCCTCTTTTCTGCTTAGAATTGGTTTCTAGAAATCCAACATGTTGGAAATTGTGTGATACTGAAAACTGACTTCCCAGACAGCTTATTGATTTCCACCCCTGTGATGATAACCTCCCACTGCTCAGGGCTGCTTTATCAATTCCACCCATAGCGTGACATGTGGTCCACGGTGTGATTCAGGACAGAACACTTAGTACAGAGACACTGGGACGCCAGAGAGTCGTGCAAGGACTTTTTGACATGGCACCAGAGTTAAGTTAGGGTTTTTCAAAATGCTGACACGCCGAGCTCAAAAGGTTCGCCATCACTGATCTATGCCCTTTCCCACCCCTACTCCCGTCCCCCTGCAGTCACCACACTGTTGTCCATGAGTTCTCTCTGTTTTTCTTTTTCCTCCCTCCCTCCCTCCATGTCCTCCAACACCCCCTCCCCACAAAAGAGCTGTCTCCCTGCTTTCTATGCGTCTGTCTCTATTCTGCTTATTAGTTCAGTTTGTTCATTATATTCCTCATATAAGTGAGATCACATGGTACTTGTCTTTCTCCAACTGGCTTATTTCACTTAGCATAATGTTCTCAGGTCTATCTATGCTGTTGCAAAGGGCAAAATTTCCTTCCTTTTTATAGCTGAGTACCATTTCATTGTTGACACAAGATTTAACAATGATATATTGGTACCAAAGAAAAAGGTGCAGATTTCTGGTTCAAAGACAAAAATTTAAAAATTGTAAAAGAAAATGTCAAAAGTAAAATATTTTAATTTTTATCTTTTTTTTCAATTTTGAAGTCAAGATATAATCACCAATATCATACACACTATGCATTATATAGTGTGATGGCAAACAACTTTAGAAAAATAAAGTTTGATTATTTTCCTGGATTTGGTTTGTTTTCCTGCCACACTAATCCATAGACATTTGTGTCCCTGGCTTCTGTAGACCCTGGAGTTTTTATTTTTCAATGATCTCTTTAATGATCTTTTTAATGCATGTCATGTCTTGTGTGGACAATGTGATGGCTCCAATGCTTAGCTGACCGTTTTCACCACTAGATGGCATTTAAGTCCTTCTTGAACAAATCGAGCAATTACTCAATGCATCCACTAGTGGGCGGAGATTCCTGTTCTTTCTAAATATGAGCCTGGGGAAAACCTTTGAAAACCTCTTTTTAGGCAGTTGTCTAAGAGTTTTACCTGCCCACTTTTAGGGAGAGGTTTGAATCTTCATACTCATGGTCAGAGTCATTTCAGACAGTTTTCATGAGAATTTTTTTTCTCTTTTGGTAGAGTATCATTAACAGATCGGTTAATATTTATTTTTGAAAGATAAATTGCAAATAAAAGCTATATTACTTAAATAGACTAATTGGAGTTGACTACAGAGCCTTTTCTAAAGAATCCAAAACATCAGAATACTGGGATCCTAGTACCGCAGGTGACCTGAGACCCCACCATTCGCAGATGAGTGAATAAGGCCTTGGGAACTGCAGAGAGCCAGCTGCCTAAGGCCACACCCCTGTGAGGTCATTATGGGAACATCAGTAATGCATCTTGGATAGTCCCTTTAACTTGCGTGGGATTTCTATTA